TACAAGGTACATTCTAGATAAGCAACTGTTCTCTCATTCTTTCTCTTTTTGAAACAGTCTTGTCTGAGGAACTGTCAGTGATATCCAAGAGAAATCTAGAAGCATTCATTCACCACAGAAGATTTTACTCATGAGTATTTGTATGAATTTGCATTCTACTAAATGCTTGGAATGAGTATGCTAGATGAGGCAATTCAACATAGTGTCTAATAAAAGAGCATGTGGTTTCTGAGTCCTCTGTATGTTACATTGCCCAGAGACTCATTTATCATGTCTGTGCTATCATTAATATATTTTAAAAACAAAAGATGTTTGCCCACATAAAATCAGACAACCACAAGCTGAAAACCGAAAAATAGTCATTTTTGTTATACATTTGTAGTGGTTTATGAATAGCTATGAAAATGTATAACCCAAAATAAGATGCAAGGCATTAGCTTTAGAAGAGATTTACCAATGATACATTAACTATTAAAATATTTTCAGTTATTTTAAGAACTTGATTTTATGGTAGATTATGCTTTAGACTTTATAATAGATTAAGAGAAAGCTATAAATCATCAACCCCAAGAATTATCTAATCTAGTTCAGTACCTTTCATAGAGTTCAGTAAATATTTGTTCTAATTTGTTTACTTCAACAATTCAAAATTTCTTATTCCTGAAAGCAATAAACAGTTGCAACAACTGTATAACTATAGTTTCATTCCATTCCGTTACAAACCATTTTGCTGTGGGACCCCTCACCCTGGTTGAGAAGCACAGTATGTTAATATGGTATTTATGAGGTCTTTGAGGTCTCTTATAATTTTCTGCAATTTTCCTTTGGTGAATTAGTGGAGTGCCAGTTGGTATAGCTCCAATGACTTTTTGGTTTGTCTTTTAGGATTTCAGAATTTTCAGGTCCCATCACCCCCTGCCTCTATCTCTGCAAGTTTAGAGGGCTTAGATCAAATGAATATTGTGTGACGCAGTGCTTCATGGAGTGTTAGAGTGCTTCCAGAATTAGGATTTTGAGTGTGGGGATTACCATAGCTACAGAAGTTTCCTGCATACCTTTCCCCTTAGTCAGTACCCCATAAAACAGGAGGCAGACCTCCTCACAGCCTCATTTTCTCACCTCTTGCTCCAAGAGGAAGTGAACCATGCTTCCCATCCTGTTTCTAGTTACATCTAAGTTGAATTCACTTTTGATAGCCTCATCTATAACATTCTGACTCTGCAGACCCGCTTTCATGGAGTAGCTTACAGTGAGCTGCTCTTCCCTCAAATGTGCCTAGTTAGGGCTTGTACTAAACAAGTGAATATCATGGAATGATTGGCAGCAACCTTATTGTTTCTGTTTCTCACTTCTGTAGTGTCCAGGAAGGGCAGTGCTGCTTTCCTGGAGGCCAGGTGATGGTTGTTGCTCCTCTGTTTTCTCGCCTTGACCCTTTGGGGCTTAGGCCAACCACCTCAGTGGTTTTCTTATGCGGCTAAGAAATCTGAAGAATACTAAAGCATCTCCATTCCCATGTTGCAGGGAGAAGGGTGTTTCCCCTAAAAGAGCAAAACGCCAATTAATATGTCTATCCTAGCGATTGAAGCAGGTCTTCCATTCCTTTTAAGACCCTAGACCCTGGCGACCAATAAAACTCTTTGGGCTTTTGGCTAGGTGTGGTGGCTAGCCAAGCCTGGCAATTTGGGAGGCTGAGGTGGGTGGATCACTTGAGGTCAGAAGTTCGAGACCAGCCTGGCCAACATGGTGAAACCCCCATCTCTACTAAAAATACAAAAATTAGCCAGGTGTGTGATGTTGCATGCCTGTAGTCTCAGCTACTCAGGAGGCTGAGGCAGGAAAATTGCTTGAACCTGGGAGTTAGCGGTTGCAGTGAGCTGAGATCTTGCCATTGCACTCCATCCTGGGGGGCAGAGTGGGACTCTGTCTCAAAAAGAAAAAAAAAAGGTTTGGACTTTTAAAAACACTGTAAATATAGGTAGAGCCAAAGATAAATCAGGGAGAGCAGAGGGTCTGAGTTCACATACTCCAACCTCCAGTTTCTCCATGAGGTTAAAACCGTCTCAGAGAAATTTACGGACATTTTGTCTCCCATGGTCAGCATGTGATCCTCATTATTGTTGTCAACATTTTGACCAAGATAGTCCCCTATATTGGTTTTTCATCAGTTGTAATTGTTATGTTTTTTCTAAGGATTCTGTTTTACTTTTATGGTCTTACCAACTGTCCAGTATTATATCCTAGATTTGGGAGGCAGGAAATTGTTAAGACTTTTACTTAGGTTCAAATTCCCCAGGCTTTTGCCTGCTACCGTTAGACTAAACACAAACTTGTGTGAATCAAGTTCTCTAAAGAGATCCTTCCGTGCCATGCTCATGAAGGCAAAATAATTGGGCCACATGCTTGGCAACCACTGAGTTTGTGTACAATAGCTCCATTCACTTGTCTACAGAGAACACCCCTTTGACAGTGATTATAGCTTTCAACCCCCCACCCCTCCACTTCTGACTCCCTGAATTACCATGACCTCATCTGCTGCTTCGTATTTAGAGGCGCTCTGGACCGCTCCAGAAATGCCTAGAACTCATTCCTGTGTGTTAAATTATCATTTCAAAGCCTCAGACAACCACTGGCCACCAAGAGAAACCATTCAAAATCAGGACCAAATCTAGCTATTCTTATGCCTTTTTTGAGTCATTTTACTGTGTCACAACTCAGGGGTTCTTTTGCTTCAGTAGAAATTTTGAGGTCTCTCAAAAGCATGGAAAATGAAATAAGGAATTGGATAAAGCAGTGGCTCTCAAAGTATGGCCCCTAGATAGGCTTTATACATATTACGCGGGTACTTGTTAGAAATGCAAATTCTTGACTCATTCCAGACCTAGTGAATCAAAAACACCAGGGCTGGAGTCAGCAATCTGTTTAACAAGTCTTCCAGGTGATTCTTAAGCTTGCTGAGGTTTGAGAATCACTACTACAGGGTTACAGAGACGTTTTGTAGGTAAAATGGACAAGTGTTGATTGACTGGATGTAAATTGTGAGGGAGAGGGAGAGACAAAGAATGAGTCTCACATTTCTTTTTTTTTTTTTTTTTTTTGAGACGGAGTTTCAGTCTTGTTACCCAGGCTGGAGTGCAATGGCGCGATCTCGGCTCACCGCAACCTCCGCCTCCTGGGTTCAGGCAATTCTCCTGCCTCAATCTCCTCGGTAGCTGGGATTACAGGCATGCGCCACCATGCTCAGCTAATGTTTTTTTTGTACTTTTAGTAGAGACGGGGTTTCACCATGTTGACCAGGATGGTCTCGATCTCTTGACCTCGTGATCCACCCGCCTCGGCCTCCCAAAGTGCTGGGATTACAGGCTTGAGCCACCGCGCCCGGCCTGAGTCTCACATTTCTAACTTTTGATTTATTCCTGAATTGTCTTAACAGATTCTCTACCCTTGCAAGGTAAATGCTAGGTTGTCTACAGATATGCATACCTATTTTCAAGCAGGTAGGAGTCTAAATTAGATTCTGCAGTGTGTCATTATATAGTTTGATGCTGTTGTATTTATTGGTTAGTATTTTTTGTCTCCCCTGACTTAAAAACAGTATGATTATTGTATGTTTGCATATTGTTTTTTCAAACAAATTTTGTTCACAATTTGATGTACTGGGGGAAAGGAAGAATCAAGGCCCCTGTTGTCGAAGGACTTACAACTTAGGGTTTACAAACACATAAATAACCAACTATAAACATCATAGAATTTGGAGCGAAGACAAGGGGATATGTTGTGGCAGTGCAAATTTGGGTTGGGGTTTGGGAGATGGGGAGGGACTAATAATTGTTTTTAATAATTTTAATAATTGTTTTTCAAAGGAGATGAAATTTGAACCAGGTTATGAAAAATTGCCAAAAGCAGGGCCAAGTGCTATGGTTTATACCTGTAACCTCAGTGCTTTGGGAGGCCAAGACAGGAGGATCCCTTGAGGCCAGGAGTTTGAGTCTATCCTGGGCAACATAGCAAGACCTCGTCTCTACAAAAAATTTAAAAATTAGGCTGGCATGGTGTATGCCTGTAGTCCTAGCTGCATGAGGGGCTGAGGTGGGAGGATTCCGTTAGGCCAGGAGTTCGAGGTTACAGTGAGCTATGATTGTGGCATTGTATTCCAGCCTGGGCTACAGATGCAGACCCTATCTCTTAAAAAAAAAAAAAAAAAAAAAAAGTGCCAAAATCATAAAATGGCTGTGAGTTAACAGCAGACGACTACTTCTTCTTCTTCCCTTTTTTTTTTTTTTTTTTTTTTTGAGATGGGCGTCTCGCTCTGTTGCCTAGGCTGGAGTGTAGTGGCGCAATCTCGGCTCATGGCAACCTCTGCCTCCCGGGTTCAGGGGATTCTCCTGCCTAGCCTACCAAGTAGCTGAGACTATAGGCGCGCACCACACCTGGCTAATTTTTGTATTTATTTATTTATTTTTTAAAAGGAGTCTTGCTCTGTTGCCAGGCTGGAGTGCAGCGGCACAATCTCAGTTTACTGAATCCTCCGCCTCCTGGGTTCAACTGATTCTTCCGCCTCAGCCTCCCAAGTAGCTGGGACCACAGGCTCGTGCCACCACGGCTGGCTCATTTTTGTATTTTTAGTAGAGACGGGCTTTCACCCTGTTAGCCAAGGTGGTCTCAATCTCCTGACCTTGTGATCCGCCGGCTCCGGCCTCCCAAAGTGCTGGGATTACAGGCATGAGCCACCAGGCCTGGCCAATAGCAGACTACTTCTAAGAGGAGAAGTTAAAAATGTAAAGTCTTTAGTTTTTTTTCTTTAGTATGTTTATCTGACTTACTCTGGTACAGTTGAGTCAAACAACAGAAATTTGCTTAGGGAAAATTACTGTCAGTAAATTTCAATTATACTTGACATGCAGAGAGGAATCAATCTAAATTAAAAATAAATGTATAAAGGCGGTGTTGAATTAAATCTAATTTTAAAACTGTATAACACAAATTAAGATTTTTTTCAAAAAGCAACGGCATTATGTTAAGAAAAGGTGGATTCAGATTTCAGTCTTCATTCTGTGACTGCAGTAACTACATATGAATTTTATTACTTCGGCATCAGTTTAATCATCTGACAAAAAAGGTATCAAATTGCAACTTTTAGCTGATGTTTGAAAATCCTTTGATGAATACAGTGCAGCACCAATTGTGCATTTACAGTTAAGAAATGTGACCCATGAAGTCCTAAAAGGCACATTTCAGCATCTCTGTTCCTAAAGCTAAGCGGCCACCAAAAATAGCTTCTCTTGAGGACTGAGGATTGCGTCTCTCAATTCCCCAGTGAACCCCTGCTTGACAGCTTCGAAGTTCCCAGCCCTATGCAGCCTGTACTGTTAGTACTCAACACAATGCCAGGCTAGAGCTTTGGGGATGGGAACCTCCAAGAAAGCACTGTTCGGCATTTGGGCAATCAGTGTTCGGCAGAATGCCAATGCTAATAGGTTATTTTGCTCTGGAAAAGGAGAAAAAGAAGGGATAAAGACTGATGATGAATACAGGATGACTGACAATACAGACCTTCCACTTTATTGGAGAGATTAAGGGGGCTTGCTGTGAAGTGGTATTGTGGGAGCCAGAAAAATTAGCAAAGGCCCACAGGCCCAAGGCCTGAAATAAATAGTAGTCCATCAAACCCGCATGCCCCAGGGCACACTCAAATGTCTGGCCACTTTCAGTGAACTTGTAGTAGGAAAAAGCCAAATCATTAGGAACCCTCTTAGTCTGGCACTCCATCCAGGCACTCCTTAGTCAGGCAAATTATCCTTCATCTCTGACAGGTGCAGATCCTTTTTTCTCTACACCTCAATTTAACCCAAGGTCCTCTAGTCTGGGCCTGTGTCTAATTTTGAGGATATTGAGTAGAAAAGTTGGCTTCAGGTTTTCCAAAGGATTCCAAATACTCTAGGCAGGAAGTGCCACTAAGATTCTTGTTTTGTTAGACTTAAACCAGGCAGGTAAGAACATTGATCAGAACACTAGAAAGTGGAATTAATCAATTCACATAAGGATCTCATGTACTTCTAGAGGTAATTTAAGATGAAGAAAGCATCCAGCCTGCCCTCATTTAGATTTTTTGCCTCTAAAAGCATCTTTGTTTTTTGGTGTTTTTTTTTTTTTTTTTTTTGAGATGGAGTCTCACTCTATCACCCAGGCTGGAGTGCAATGGCACGATCTCGGCTCAGTGCAAGCTCTGCCTCCCGGTTTCAAGTGATTCTCCTGCCTCAGTCTCCCAGGTGCCTGCCACCACACTTGGCTAATTTTTATATTTTTAATAGAGATGGGGTTTCACCATGTTGGCCAGGTTGGTCTTGAACTCCTGACCTCAGGTGATCCACTCACCTTCCCCTCCCAAAGTGCTGAGATTATAGATGTGAGTCACTGCTCCCGGCCTTTTTTTTTTTAAAGATGGAGTCTCACTCTGTTGCCCAGGGTGGAGTGCAGTCATATAATGTCAGCTCACTGCAACTTCTGCCTCCTAGTTCAAGCAGTTCTTGTGTCTCTGCCTCCTGAGTAGCTGGGATTACAGGCATGCACTAACATGCTTGGCTACTTTTGATATTTTTAGTACAGAAGGGGTTTCACTATATTGGACAGGCTAGTTTCGAACTCTTGGCTTCAAGCAATCCACTCGCCTCAGCCTCCCAAAGTACTGGAATTACAGGTGTGAGCCACCATGCCTAGCCTTGCTTCTAGAAGACTCTAAAAGCCCCAAAGTTATTATGGATTTGGGGGTTTGTAGGTCAGAAGGATTTCATGGATTGGCAGTGAAGTCTGGAATGTTATAAGGCATATTAAGCCTGCATTTTCTTAGTAAGCTTATCTAACAGAATTGGCCATCAGCTGTTTGGGAGGCCATTTGGAAGTTATACTATTAAAAGAAATTTGGCTGTTGAGTAGTGAAACTTTGATAAAAACATAAGGCAGTCTCAGTACTAGAATGCAACTTCTTCAAACTATGCCCAGCTTCGGATTCTAGTACATGTGAAATAGGTTTTAAAAAAATTGGGAGATAAGTTTTCTTGGTGTAGCTGTAGGACATAAGATTCTGAACCAACTAAGCAGCACAGCTAATCTGAAAAATTTGTACTTTCTCTGCTTACTTTTTAATTTAATTTAGGAAAGCTTGTTTAAATGAATAGCCACATTACAAAATGCTCATCTATGAATTGCGTTTTAATTTTATGGAAAAGGAGATATTACCCATATTCTAATTCATAATATTGTGTATACCAGTCAGTCTGATTATTTTTAAAGAGACAGTTATAATGATATACTGTCTTGCTGCAAATGAGATCTTTCAGTGTGTCATTATAAAATATTATGGACTATTTTTACTAATGATTTATCTCACATAAGCTACTTTCTGGCTGAAAGAAAATGACAAAAGCAGTGTAAGAATTTTACTTTCTCTTCACTCTCTGAATTCCACAATTTTATTTCTTGCCAGCTTTCCTGACAAGACAGCCCTTCTGCGCATCTCTTATTATCTCCTTAGGGATATAGTTTTAGCCTCTCATTTAATAGAGTCTTTTATGACCATTTCTTTCTTTTTTTTTTTTTTTTTTTTTTGAGATGGAGTCTCTCTCTGTCACCCAGGTTGGAGTGCAGTGGAGTGCAGTGGCGCGATCTCGGCTTACTGCCACCTCTGCCTCCCGGGTTCAAACAGTACTCCTGCCTCAGCCTCCTGAGTAGCTGGGATTACAGGCATGCGCTACCATGCCCAGCTAATTTTTTTGTATTTTTAGTAGAGGCGGGATTTTACCATATTGGCCAGGCTGGCCTCAAACTCCTCACCTTGTGGTCTGCCCTCTTTGGGTTCCCAGTGCTGGGATTACAGGCGTTAGCCACCATGCTCAGCCTTTTATCACCATTTCTAATTGCCATCACTGCTTAGTTATACCTTTGTATGGTCAGATTCTTTGTGTGATGGTCATACCTTCTGTTGGTGGTGAGAGGTATTAAATAGGTACAATCATAGTGTAAGTAAATGTACATTAAGGCATAATGTGATACATGTACTGTAAGTTCATTTTTAAATATAAGAGTGTTGCATATTTAGTTAATTGAGATAGTACAAACAAATGGAAATCTGTATTGTATAAAATGACATCTTGGAGCACCATCCTAAAGATTCCTGAAAGCCTTGGGCTTTAGCTAGATTGGTATTATATGTTTAGAGCTTCCATTAACTTTTTTTGGTAATAATTTCTTAATGGATTAATGGACCCAATGTGACTCTATGTCTACTATATCTTCAGGTCTGGTGCTTCAGGAATGGGTACACATGGTGGCAGGAGGTGGACTTTCCATGGCCAGTAAAGTCTTTACTTTGGATAGCCAAAGTTAGTGAAAGTGGAGGGAGAATTAAAATAATTGACTAAATGGAGAAACAAAAGATCAAAACCAGAGAATCAGAGGGTTGGAGTGAGATAAGCCTTACGCAGAAATACGTGGTCAGAATCTGGAGTAGCAGATTGAGGATAATGAAAGAATACTGGAGATTTTTTTTTTTTTTTTTTTTTTTGAGACCGAGCCTTGCTCTGTTGCCCAGGCTAAAGTGCAGTGGTGTGATCTTGGCTTACTGCAACTTGCACCTTCCCAGTTTAAGCAATTCTCCTTTCTCAGCCTCTCCAGTAGCTGGGACTACAGACTCATGCCACCACAGCCGGCTAATTTTTGTATTTTTAGTAGAGATGGGGTTTCACCATGTTGGCCAGGCTGATCTCAAACTCCTGACCTCAGGTGATCCACCTGTCTCAGCTTCCCAAAGTGCTGGAATTACAGGTGTGAGCCACCATGCTGGCTGATTTCTATTTTTTGTTGTTGCAGCTGTGTGTGATGGTAGAGATTTAATGGTTAAAAGGAGCCCTCTGGGCCTGGCCTTTTTGTGGGGGTGACATTTAAAATTTTCAACAATCAATGAATCATAGCAAACACCTCACTGAACAATACTCTGCTATAGTGCACTGGTGCTGGGTATAAACCCTCTCCTGGACCAGCCACTATATAATGCTGACGACATTGCATTCTCTGGCTCCCCATTTGCCTTTGCCAGATGTGGGAACCAAATTGTGTAGGTTTTATCTTCCTGTGGAGTGGTGGACTCATTCAAATGCAACTCTATCTTTTCTTTTAAAAATCCTTTATGGTTTTCCCAGTGCCTACAGGATAACAGTAGCCTTTTAGCATGGCATAAAAGGCCTTCCATAAACTCTCTGCTACCTCCCTTTCCAGCATTGTCTTGTCTTATCTTCAATATGCATCTTTTCTCACTGCATGGATCACTAGCCTCCTTGTTCCAAGGTAGACTCCCTCTACCTTGTTGCTGGGCAGTGACTTGGGGAACTTACAGCACTTACCATATTGAAATGTGAACATTTACTCATGTCTGCTGCTCACTGTACTGTGAACTGTTTGAAGAGCAGAGATATCTTTGTACAGCTAGTAACTAAGGTGTCACCTAGGGGCTGAATATATGTTGATTGTAGATGTGTATGAATAAAATTATTAGCTCTGAAAAAATGATTATTAAATAATGCAAACGTAGGGCCAGGCACTGTGGCTCACACCTGCAATTCCAGCACTTTGGGAGGCTGAGGTAGGCGAATCACATGAGGTCAGCCATTCACCAACATGGTGAAACCTCATCTTTACTAAAAATATAAAAATTAGCAGGGTGTGATGGCACACTCCTGTAATCCCAGCTACTAGGGAGGTTGAGGCAGGAGAATTGCTTGAACCTGGGAACCTGGGAGATGGAGGTTGCGGTGAGGTGAGATGGTGGGCACTTTAGACTGGGCGACAGAGCAATACTTTGTCTCAAAAAAAAAAGAAAAAGAAAAAGCAAATGTAATGTTACTTCTAGCTTGAGCTAAATAGGTGAAAAAAATGAACCCATCGCATTTTCTATTCTTGGGAGTTATGCCATAATGGTATTATTTGTTTTGTTTTGTTTTGTTTTGTTTTGAGACAGCCTCTCGCCCTGTTGCCGAGGCTGGAGTACAGTGTCATGATCTTGGCTCACTGCACACTTGAACTCCTGGGCTCAAG